CAGGTTTGGGCAACTGCACCATGCACCACATTTCAACTTCTGAATTGGGCTTGAGTTCAACTTTTCAGGGGAACCAGGTGGTTCACAGGTTAATAGAATCTTCAACATCTAGGACACCACTTCAAATCCACTCTTGTTTGTGGGTGATTGACAGCTATTAGCTAATGATGGCTATTTGGTGACTTGCGTGAAGTCATTTTCCTACTAGACAAGTGTCTGCATCACAAAGACTATCAGCATAGTTAATACTCATTCCCACCTTTCTGGCAATCTCAAGAGAGAGACCAAAGACTAAATAGACCATATAGACTGAAATAAGAGTCCTTAGCACATGGACTGGACAGAGTTGGGGAGCTTGTAGTGTTGCCACCTTTAATGTACCTCTTGTCTCTAGAAAAAGAAGACTTCAGCCTTCAAATCAGGCAAACTGACACTTTTTATGGTTGCCTCCACTGATTCCCTAGATTCTTTTTCAGAACAGTGGGTGTTGTCTGGGGTTCTTTGCTCCGTGTCTCCTTTTGGTTCCCATGTTTTAACTCTGTGACCCTTCCTGTTTTTTCCATTCTTTGTCCCTGCTAATTTGTTGACCCCTGTTCTTTAGTAACCTTCCCAGTCCTTATTTTTTGTAGTGGAATGGCTGCTAATGTTCCTTTTGGATGGGTTCCACCCATTCCTACAGGGATTAAATAGGCTGACACCTTTTATGAGCACGAAAGTCACATGAAATACTGAGGGTGGGGAGGAGGAGATGGTGGAGGAAACGTTTGCAGTTTTAGGGTATGTCTACGCTGCAATTAGACACCTGCTCCTGGCCCGCGCCAGCTGACTCAAGCTGGCAGGGTTCAGGCTGCAGGGCTATTTAATTGCGGTGTAAACATTCGCACTTCTCACCTCGCAGGGTCCTAGTGCCTGGGCTCCAGCCCGAGCCCAAATATCTACAGTGCAGTTAAACAGCCGCTTAGCCTGAGCCCCACAAGCCCAAGTCAGCTGGCATGGGCCAGCCATGGGTTTTTAATTGCAGTGTAGATGTACCCTTAGTAAGCCAAGGTAAGTAGTGATGGCTTGTAAGAAATTTGAAGGTAAAAGCCACATTATTATTTTATGGTACATTGATCAAAGTACAATAAGAATATTTTCCTCTCAGATGGCTTTCTCCTTTTGTTAATGCTTCTAATTTAATACCTCAAGAAAAATATATTTTATTAGAGGTTTCCCATCAGCTATTGTCCTATGTTGGTTTTTTGTTTCTTTTTGGTAGCAAAGCTAACCACCAAGTAGCCTCAGGACATGCAATTCTTACCTCCATGCATAGTATAATATTATTTAAGACTCTAAATTAGGGCTACCATATGTAACAAATAAAAAAAGAGGACCCTTCACGGGCCCTGGCCCCGCCCATTTCCCACCCCCAG